TTTGAATTATCATCATGTATTATGTACAGAGCAAGTGTCAATATTTTCGTTTATTCACGTGTGTTTTAATGCATTCATTAAATTTTCGGTGATTATTTATTCGTATTCGCTTAGGTTGAGAAGAAAATTTCGTTTTTATTTAGTGAAAATATTTTTCATCTTCGTGTCGCACAAACGGATACCAGTTGTATGTTTCGTTATAATACATTCGATTAAAGGGTAATGAGGAGATCATGCTGAAGAAAAAAATGGATGAACATTATAGTCTGATTATAAATGCTCACAAAATGCTAATGGATCGGTTTTTGAGCTCAAAACTTCGACGAATCATCAATATGGATAGCTTGGAAGTCAAGAACAGTCATTCAGAATACTAATGAAAAGTTTTTCTCATGAAACAGGCAAAAAGCATCTAATCGTAAATTTTGACCCAATAAAATAACCGAGTTCGAATGGCCATACATAAGCGAGTTTAAACGCAGTAACATCATTTGTTATTACATACTTATGTACACAATAGGCATACTATAAATAACGGGACTCAATCAGTTCAACAGGAAACTGTAATGAAATTGATACAATCAGATCATTAAAATCAATCGGAATTGAGAATATAGCTGGAATGAGAGCAACTCGAATATCACCTCTTATATCAGCATTTACTAATGGTTGGATATTAATTGCCTCGTTATTTCACCTACGTAATGTTCGATTACGGTGGATTTCAGTTGTTTGCGGAACTGTGAGTCATTTTTAAAATTAAAATGCTAGAAAATGAGGATCTTCCTTGAAGGGGGATTTTTAATTATGAAATGGCCATAAAATTTTGAACCCTTGCTGACGGATACAAGAATAATTGCACTGTTGACGATAACAGTGACTGCATTAGAAGGCTTGTCAAATCACATGTTCAGTGCATATGAAATGAGAAATGAAGTATTCCAAGAAGGATAACAACTACGAATGAAACGAAACAGCTGAAATCTCGTTGTTTTCTCAATTATCATAAAGTACGCGTTTAATTGCATATTTTATTACTTTCTTAACGATCTGAAATCAAACAGAAAATTCTCTAAGAAAAAAATAAGAAACCTTAATGAAATCAATCTGAATAATTCCAGAATCGAACAATCTTTTTTTCGAACTTTTCAACTTCAAAACAGTTTCAGAAAATATTACAATCTGATGTTTTTCAACCAAATATAAGTCAGAGTCTCTTCTGGATGTTCGCCTTGAAGAGAGTCTCCGAATGATTTCTGCTCAGGAGTGGAAAGATGGAGTCCAGTAATGTGGTTAAACGTCAAGAAATTGCACAAACTCAATATTAATGATAATCTCGAAATTAATTATGAACATATGATAATTACATTAATAAGCACACATGGCTGACCCTAACGAACACTAAAAATTTACTATGAGATAGAGACGAAGAAGAGAAATAACTTTTGGAAAATCAACGATTTGATTGGAACCCGTAATTTTACGGAAGCGTTTCCGTTCTCTTTCACCCGACCCACCCCTCATATCCACCACCACCACCGCCATTATTTCTCATCTCTTGGCTACACCACTCTTCTCATGAATTGAAACGTTTGTTAATGATAACATGAAATGATATTTGAGAGACGAAACGAATTATTCCAAAAAGGTAATGAACGTTCACTCAATACTATCAACATCACACACCATAAAACTCCAATAATAATCCTTCCACCCTTCGATACGAACCCCATTTGGACTATGCAAACGTCTGCAATAAAACCGAATCGGTAAGACCCGTGGACTATTATCGTAGTTTCGCGGTGTTCCATAAACCGGTGTGATCTGACCAGGCTTCAGCCAGCAAAACAAAAAAAAATCGCTTGTGATCTTATCAAGAGATATTCGCTTGTTGAGTGAATTGAGCTGAATAGAAGAACGGTGGTTGGGTATTTGCCATTATGCTGTTCGTAGTGTCACGAAGAATCATGCTCTGAGGCTGCGTTGCGTACGATACCGACATCTGCCGTTCATACTCCTTTTTGGCCTGGAATAGAAAGTTCCAATCAAATGTTAAGTTCCATGATATTGTTCAATGGTTCGCTTCACTAGTCGAGTGAATAAGCAAAATCCCAAAATGCGCAATTGCTTTGGTGCAATTTGCATTAAAGTTCACTTCATTAGCACCTTTTATATGAGGAGATCTCATTGTAGGAATATTTGCGCTTTTCACTAAAATAGAATTGATGAATAAAAATTTCAACCATTTAAGAGTACTACTACTAACGTATTCGAGTTGTTGTGTGTAGAGTGCCAACTGCGCCCTGAGCGCTTCATTTTCCTTTTCTAACTCCTCCAATTTCCGTTGCATCAACTTTTCACGTTCGCGTCGATTACTCCGAGATTTCTTCGCCGCCAGATTGTTCTTATCCCGTCGTTCACGATATCTGTATTCGAATGGTTATTCATTACTCTGTGCTCTCCGCTAAGCCATCAACGAATTACGAGTGTGCCATTGTCCAATGTGCCATTCCAGCTGATCACCGTCCATCACACATTCAGTTCACGTAGCCACCACACGGCTAGCTCCGATCACTCGTTGCCCAAGTGCGTGTTCTACGTGTCCAAGTGTCCAGCCACACGTCATCTGCATGGAACTCGTTCTCAAACCAGTCTAACGGATATCAGTTACGCAAGTAACTGAACCAGCAGCCAACTTCCGATCGCATCGCTCGCATGCCCATTTGTCCACGGCAACTCTCAGTAAAGGGGAAAAGAAAACATCAAATAATCTTAAAATTCATCATCAAATTAACAAATTCATGATTCTTGCTCAAATTTTACGGATTCTATAAACAACAAAATGTATCAATTAACTGTGCTAATTTCAATGAATAAAATTTTTCGAACAAAGAGAAAGGATATCCTTGATTTTGGGGCAATACCGAACAGATTCTTAAACGGCTGATATGTAATAATAGTAAAGGTAAAGAATAGATAATCGAAAGTTAGTGAAAAAAGAAAAATTAGAAAATATACAACAAAAATCATCGCATTGCAATCTTAAATCACTGCTTCTGATTAATGCGAAAAAAACCAAAAACGTTACTTTTTCTTGGATTCTTCATCTTCTGGTGTCAATGAAACCTGTTTGGGTTGACTTTGATGTGAAGGAGTCGAAGTGATCTGTGGCTGTTGAATTTGTTGTTGTTGTTGCTGGGCTAAGAGAGTCGTAGAATAGTTCTCGTCTTTCGGCATCTCATAACTGCTCAGTGGCATTCCGTAGGGAGTCGGAAAGTTTTGTGGTACCATATTCGAAGTCATACTCGCAGCGTAAGGAAAATAGAACCCATTCCCATCCCCTTTCATGTCACCCATATATGCTGAGAGCATTTTTGTGCTGAAAGTGTAATATCTATTTAATGATAAGTCATGTCATCGGACAAATCATTAAGCAATAGACAATTAATTGTGATTGATGCGATTTCTGGTCCTCTTTGATCGAAAGTTTTTCATAGAAAGTTTGAATGTTATGAAATTCAAGATTTTTGCAAAATTTCTCAAAATGTATTTTATCTTCATTTAGTGAGTGCATAAATGCATTTCTGATTTGTATAAGGCAGTGTTTGCAACGTCTTCATGTTCAAGCTCTACTAGGAACAGTAGGCAACAAGCCATAGTGAATTGATTGGCTATTAACAGCAAACAGCACCTACTTTTCAGCAGTTTGGGAATTCGGATTACAGTAGCCCGATTCGTTTATAGTTTATCGCAATAAACTGAAACGATGTATCTGTAAGAGTTGATCATTAATAGATGTAATGATCATAATTAGTGACGCTCACATTGTCGCATTCATTTAGTAAAACAGAATTCGATATTTAAATTAAATTGATCTCTAGGGGATATGTTAGTGAAACAGCTGAGGTATGCTGCAATAGCTGAGACAATCCTCATCCAGCTTTTCATCACATCAAGACTGATGGAATAGGAAAGGGGTTTTCTCAATCTTGAGGTTGATTGATAAAAAGACATGCATAACTTCAGGTAACAAAGCAGCACGTTCAACTGATATACACCGACAAATTTCAATCTCAAAATGAAGAATTTCCATTTCCTGTCCTAATAAGCCTCTCTGCCCAACAAATCCTCCATTCATTCGACTTAACATCAGTACATTAATTATGAAAGCAATGACACATCACAATGACTAAAAAGTATTATTCGGTAACGAGGATCGAACATGCCTCGGGGAAGGAAGTAAACTCGCTGATTGGGTGTCATAAGGTCAATACCAGACAAATGCGCAATATTGAATGTGCAACAAGTACGCAATCGCGATGAATAAGCGTCAACTAAGAAGTTTCATTCTCGCGGGGAACGAAAGATGGTCGTTGCGTTAGTGGAGAACAATATGGACTGATGATAATGCATCAAATGGTAATATGCAATCAAACGCAACTGAACACGGAATTGGATGGCATAAGAGTTTGTTATTGTGGGTGCATTTGACCCGATAGGGTCATTTAAGGATGACCAGCAAAGGAGTATATGCATAGCAGATGCTGATTGCTCGTTGAGGTCTTGCGTTGGAATGTTCGAAAAACAGCGAAAACAACTTAGAGAAAATTTGAAAACACCATCAAGCAGATTAGAAATGGACAAAAAACAATGCGAAATATTGTTGATAACAGGACACCGGAGTGGTTAAAAGATCTCGTAATCTCGAGAGACATGCCTTGCGGATCATGCAAATGAGAGAGACTTCGAGGCAAATGAAGAGATAATTTAGGTGAGATAAGCCAGCAGGGGTCGGCATGGCATGTCCCGCCTTAGGGAAGGTCACCTATCCTCAAAATGAACGACACTATTTTTTGTTGTTGATGTGTTCCGGTATCTTCCTCATTCATACATTCACACAGGTTATTATCTCTCACTATCAATCTTTAAATGATGATCCTCAGATGACTAATGCATTGAAGAAAGATGATGAATTGTGCGAGCTTTGAAGAGTACTCTTATAATACATTATCGTAGTTGAGATTGTTGTTGAGCACGCATAATAACATCATCTAATTTAAATGGCTTCTGTTTTTAGTCGATTGCTGTTATCGGTGCAATTCATCACTTTTTTACCTGCCGATCTTTTAAAAATATCAACAGAACACTAAAATAGGATTTTTAACGACAATTAGAACAGTGTTTTGCAATGAACACTTAATTTTTCGTTAGGGCAAATGCATTAATTGTTTCGAAACATCAAAAAATGACTTGATAATCTCTCACAATACCAAAGTGCCAATGTGCATAACAGTAATGCTATTAATGCTTCTCGTTGAGATGGATGAAATGTGCTTAGAAGCAAACACAAAATCCTGAACAGATCTTGAACAGATCAGTTTATGATACCGTAGCTTGATTCAATGCTCATGATCAGAGAGATTATGCTTTATAGATGGTCAACCCTTATAAAAGATGTGCAGTAAGCCTGAAGTTACAAAATTTGCAATTTTAATCAACTGATAATTGATGAACACCATTGCCTCAGAGAATTATCAGATAGATGTTTGTACATAGGATGAAAAGATAACTGTGGAGCATGTTCATTCACCAAAGAAATTTCTTCTCTTGACAGCAATTCCTTACAACTATTCGTTTAATATCAGTGACGAAATCAATTCATAAAAGATTAGTTGTGGACGATTCCAAGAAATAATCTCAAAATCACGTGAAGTGAGCAATAGCATAAAGTTTGTCTAATATCAAATAATCGAATAAATATTTGCTTAATTCGACGACTTCATATCATTTACGGTGTTGCGCAATCGAATCGCAAATTGCTCTTTTGAAGTGTGTAACAATTACGCAATCAGTCATCATATGTCTGACATTATTAATCCACAAATTCCCTTTATCCATACTTCAAACTTAGGCAAATAGTCTTGATTCGACCACATTCTCAGCTCTTAAACAATAACCCCGAAAACGTGATCGTAACAAACGATAAGTGTCTTTGTTCACCTGCTTCGTGCTTTGGCAAATTTATGAGTCACAATTTGTAATTGCATTTGTAAAAATGCTGCAAATATTATGACCTTGAAAGCACCAAAAAACATCGAAAGAGCGAATAAAATAATTTTTTTGGAATTGAAGGTAATTCCCTCGATTGAAAAAGTACCATCAAACTCTACGAAGAAAAAAGCCCTCAATGTAGAAATATGAAATTGCTATTGCGTTTATGACAATAAATGTGCTCTAAGAAGATGTTAGCTAAGAACTTATGACTCATTCATAACTGGATGGGAATGGCACGAAAAGGAGTCATTATAAGAAAGAAATTGCTCGACAGACTTATAGAATGAAAATAATTACATGAAAGCAAAAAAGAATGAATTTCGTCAACGAGTTTTAATGAACTTCCAAATGAATGTTCAGGTTAAGATGACCGTTCAGGTTAAGATGACCGTTCAGGTTGAAGTTGAAGTTTAGGTTAAGATGAGCGGATTAAGCTGAGACATGAGACCTGATTCATGGAACGCATACTGAAAGAAAGGCATCCTGGTTGCTCAATAACATGATCTCATTATGTTATCAAATCTACCACTAAAAGCTGTGGGGGAAAATGATCACATCTTGTAATACATGGAGTATTTGCACATTTAATTGCAAATACAGAGCATTACCTTCTCAAGCTGTTGTTCGATTTTCATAAAACTTAATTGATTTATTATTACAATCAAACAAACTTGAGAAGATTTTTCGGAAAAAATTTTCGATCGAGAATCAGATTCGGTCAAACTATATTCATTTTTATTCCACGAGCGTTTTCGAACTGCATGTCGAACGACACGAGTATTCAGTTAGAAAAACGCGACACGAGAATACCTGAAAGAACTGAGGATGTTTGGGCGCCAGAATATAAAATAAGGTAATTGAGAATTTGTTACCTAAGTTATCCATTTTCCGTCACTTTGAGACCAGCATTAGACAAGAAATATGATAGCTATAATAATAATGATAGTAATAATCAAATTAAAGTCGGTTCGCTTTGCTCACAGCAAGGTCAACAGATGCAATGCTTAAGGCAGTCAGATTGCCTAATTAGTAGCATTTGATCAAAAAGGATCGTAAATTATCAAATACCACATTCACCAACGGAATAGGCATCATCGTTTCAATATGTTTCATTTGTGTAGTAATCATATTTCTTGTGATATTACCTAAATTATGCAGTGCTTTCGTAATTTATGATATTAATTCGATTATAAGTTGCATTGTTTATGACCATTTATGTGAACAGTTGCTGAGGTTTCTTTGGTATCCCCAAATTATCCTCACGTTTTCAGTGGACAATTTCCATTCGTAGTTAATAATAGTAGTTAATAATAAGTAGTTAATAATCTTTCAATCCATACTTGCAATATCAGTCAATCCATACATTATGTATTCTATTAGCTAAACCGTATTTATAATTCTCTTCATCGTTATTCCATCCGATATGTTTGCGTGTTGATATTCTACGATCTAAAGATGCTTTCATTGATCAAATAGACAAGATGCTCAATGAGACATTTCAATGAATAACAACTGAAATATTTGATCGACATCATTCAGTGTGACCAACCGAAGTTCAAACTCCTTCAGAATACTGTATATGGGTATCGTTAAAGTTCTTCCTCTCATTACTAGTTCATGACCATCATCATTATTATTGTGCCTCAGCCAGACTAGGATTTGATTAATATTTAACTGTCTATTTGGGAACTAGCAATTCAACCGATAGCGAAATCATTTTTATGATGTTCCGAATTACTGCATCATCAATTGGTTCGATGCCTTAAAATAAATGGATATATCTAGATAGCCATAAGTTATATCTCAAGAACATCATAACACCGCATTGACCATTGCTGAATCAGATGTTGATTGCATTCTTAACTTGGTGAGATAGTTTGCTGGAATTGTGTCACTTGTATAAGTTCTATTCCACCAGATGATATGAAAACTTACCCGTTGTTCCATGGGAATATTTAACTTCAGATCAGATATTTGAAACGATCAAATTGGAATTCTTTTTATTCACATTTAATCAATCATGCAAGTAGTTGTTGGCGCCCAATCTTTTTGTGTCACTTTGTCAGTTAGTTTTTGATTAGATAGAATTTAAGAGGAAGGCATTGAGAATAAGGGATGTCTTTTGAGGTGACCTATCAACAGTCCATTGAATGTGTACCTTCACGATGCGTTATGAGAAAATGAACATGTTAAACAGTCGAAAACAATACCTTCACATAGGGACAGGCGAGTAATTATGTGTGCGTTTTTATCAATATAAAATATCCCTTATTGTTAACATTGAGATGAATCAAATTTTAAGATGACCTAAGTTTTAGTGGAACTTGTTGCAGTGTTTACTACTCGAGAAGCTCCAGAGTACTCCAGACTTTACCACTATCAACTGAAGTTTTTATGTCGACCTTGTAAAATGCAAATAAATCAAACACTGCATCTGTAGAAAATTCATTTATTTCTCCAGCAAATTCACTATGGAATACGACAACAATAACAAAACACTGCAGACAAAGATAACGACAGGACGCAGTGAATAAGGATTCCAATAAACAATAACGATATCTGCAAACTTAAAAAAAGGCACGAGTAAATTAATTGTGTATAAAGCAATATCAAACGAATCATCATAGAATTGTGCGCACGACTGTTGATTCATCATTTTTTGAGTGTGAACGCTTTAGTGTTTATCCAAGCAATGTGAAAGCCCATCTCCACAGCTCATAAGAAATTTTTTCCAGTTTCGGTGAATTACTTGGAAAAAACTGATAGTTCTTCAGAAATTTTGTTTGTAGGATTTCAAAAGATCTACGAGGCTGCAGAAGCAATATTTTGCATGAAACCACTCGAACCACGATGATATTACCTTCTTACAGTTAGCAAAATTCTGTTTTTAATTTTAAAGTTCTTTTGTTTCCAATCCATTTTATCTGTGACATTTCAGCCCAACCGTTCCAACTACAATTCAGTTTTGAAGTGCAATAAACTGGATGCAAATTTCTTTTATTTCATGTTTTCACATAGATTTGGTTATCTTTATGGCATTTCACAAAACGATCACTCGGAAATGAAAGTATCAATTCAATGAATTTTCATTTAAAAAATGACACCCTTACATCAAATAAGAGCATTTTGAAAAACACAAAAAAAAAACAATAATAGTATAATCAGACATTGTGAAATGCATCAAAGCGATTTTACAGGCGTCTGGAAGGAAGGCAAAGTGAAACGAATATATAGGAAGTTTTGGTCAAAAATTTTTTGAAAACAGACACATACAACGAATGGATTGAATAGATATGGAAACAATTCAAACCAAGGAATAGATGAATTCAACGAGATGATGGAACATTTCAAACGAAGATTTTACTGAATTTCAACTGAATGAGATAACAGAAAAGTAATGAGCGGTAAAATCTCTTTGACATATAACTTAGCCTTGTTGCGATAGTATTAATTACAACATAAAAAACAACAGTAACAAAAATAATGCTGATAGCGAAAACAACAATTATAATAATAATGTCAATAGTTCAGATCCATGCGATAGTGTATACTGAATAGAAATAAGTGACTTTTCGCTAATGAAGAACATGGAATTGAAATGAAGAATCAACACAAGAACGTAAAAGTGTCCAGTCCAAACAAGCATATTCCTAGTCGGGAAACTGATTCTCGATTTTGGATCAATTGCTGCTAAGCACACCTCTTCATGCTGATCACACTACCGATGAGTTAAGTGCTCCAATAAATTACACTATAAGCCTAGCATTCGGTATCAAATCTTATCATGATGCTAAGAAATCGAAACAATCTCAATGGACAGATTTTTGAGTGTCATCAATGAATTATTTGAGAAATCTGAAATGTTTTCGCTCAAATTGGGACCAAGAA